GGGGGGGGGGGGGGGGGGCCTTGGGGTGTGGCCAGTCTGCAAGCAGGAGTAGAGGGGGTTTTTAAAGGGATCTGAACGCCCTGAGGCTGGATGCCTCGGCGAATTTTCCAACCAAACAAACTTTTCAGTACCAACCTCATGCGCCTGCTACTTGTAAGACGGTAGGGGCCAGGAAGTCAATCACAAGGCGTAAAGGCGTAATGGGTTGTTGTGGGCTCCCCTGCAAATCTTGCGGCTGCAAGGCAGAGGCTGTCTCAGTAGTTCAAGTTCAGGCACCTCAGCTCGCAGCTTGTCATGAAGCGCCGCAGGTTTTGTCCATAGGTGTTTCTCTTGATTTGATCGTTCATTCAGCCCGTCAACCATGGGGATTTGAGCGGATCTTACAGCTCTGATGTCTGCTCTTGTCGTTAAGTGGGCTGAGCATCCTAGTAGTTTTTTCTCTTTTTTTTATCATCATGCTGCTGAGAATGATGAGGATGAGTTGGTACCTTCGTTCGTGCCACGCTTGACGGTACGCTGTACGACCACAATAGCCATTGCTGCGCTCGCTACCGCTAGTGTTCTCAGTGAGCTTCCGAGTGGAACCATCTCCCTCGTCAGAATTGGCTATCCTAGAAGGTTACCGGCCAATGTGGACTGAAAGAGCTTCTTGCGCAAACTTGTTCCACCTCATATGGTCTGATAAACTTGTAGCAGATTTATTCTCATAGTTTCTCGTTTGGCTCAGGGCCGAAGACTTCATGTTTCATTCCATTGTGTGAAGTGCGATTTGACTTACTGGGATGTCTGCCTAGGCTGGCAGTGTTTCTGCTGCTTGAAGCCTCATGGGCGCCTGCATTTTTGTTTTACACCTCAAACCATGAAGTGGGAAAGCTTCTCATTTCGTGTGGCAGAAATGCCAGCAGTCCAATCAGAAAACATGCCTAATCCACAATCCAGACAGCTCCTGCGAACCAGAAACCCGAACCTGCATTGAAAAGAGGATGCGGAAGTAGTCTCTTTGACCCGCACCTTGACCTTCTTTGGAGCATGACAGCCGATCTGGCTGCCTAGGCCAACGGTACTGCCGGCCTCAACGCAACAAGTGATGGTCTTCTTGAGGAGAGCTTGCATGGTTTGTGCAGGGCATAAACAGCGTCTTTAGAATTGTACAATGCGGAGTGGTAGTTTGGAACTGTTGCCAGCAAAGAACTGGCCTGGCCAGTTCCACCTGTATGTACATCACACGTATATGTAAGGGCTATCTCCGCTGTGAGCGATAATCGCCAGCTGCTACTGTGGCGTCCCATAATTCTTAGACTCTTAAGTGCACAAACCGTAGGTAATTGAGCTGTGCTCTTCGCACAAAGGCTGCGGCCGGGAGGAAGCATAGTTGCTGTTCCAGACAGATGTCTAAATACTCAACACCTGCTTTGAGTCGAATTTTTCCGAGACTTTTCTGGGATAAGACTGGTCTGCATAACCGACCTCGTGCAATCCTAGGCATATATCCTGCTCAGATTGGATTGGTGAGATGCGACCTCATGCCGGCTGGTTGAGAAGATGTTGTTGACCTTGGTCTCCATGGCTGATGTGTCAATCAACCCACCCACCTTAGCCAGGCCAATGAGGATTCATTAAGGGATTCCGCCTTGTTGCATCTGAAAACTGCATACAGGGTGCGTCGCGAAAAGCGAAAAATGAGACAAAGCGCTTATAGGCTCCAAGTTTGACCAATGTGAGTTCCGACTGGCCGAGGAGAGGCGAAAACTTAAAAAAATGTTTCTTCAGGTATGATTCTCACATTGCCTGCGAAAACAATGCTGCTGGTAAGCGGGCAGCAGCCAATCCACCAGAGCGCCTGCTCTCGCATTCTAACGCTTGCATTGAATTTTCCAAAGGCATCAAAGGCTGGGATCTCCGAGCATCAGACCTTGACCACTGGAGCCATCAGACTGTATGGCCATGTTTGGACTAAGCCCTGCTCGTAAGCTGAGCTGGTGAGTGGAACCAGCCCTCTCTGGGGCCTCATGGACACCGTGAAGCTGATCGCCTTGCAAACCCTACTGGGCTTGCTCGAACTTACAATGACTCTTGCGGCGTCTCTCGAGCCGTACAATTCCCAGTCTACCGAGCTTTGCGTTGCCGGGTTGAGCTTCAGTGGGTTTGATTCACGGCATTTCACGGCCCACATGCTCATTTCCGTTACCGGTTGATGTTTTTAAAGAGCATCAGTTTCCATGCTAGAAACGAAGCAAGCATCGTGAAGGAGAACCATACGGGCACCCAGTTCTTCCGTTCGCTGGGCCATGCTCGTACCTTGCCAGCGGAAGGTCTTTCTGGGATCATGGACTGTTGGTCCCCCAACCCCACGCTGGTGGTGCGATACGGAGTGAGTAGGCTGAACATGATCGGAAGAAGCGTGGGCATGGATTGGATACGACTGGATCGTCAAGAGAGTTCAGACAGTTGGGTGGAATCAGGATCAGCAGTACGAAGCCTAGCCCGCAAGGTATTTTTCCAGGGTCCTTACCTCACCATAAACCACTGAAGGGTGTAACTGTCAGGATTCGAGTTCCAAGTCTAGGGTTTGAGATGTTTATGGGCAAGCCATTGTGGCAAAGACATTCTAAACTTCTCTTATTGAACACGCGCTTGATCTGCTTCGCAAGCTCCAGGCCATGCCATCGTCAGCACAACGGTCGGCCTGTTTCAATTCAATGGCTTTTCTGACAGAGCCATGATAGGCATCAAGATCATGGTGGTTGTGTGCCCGGATTGCAATGAGCATGAATGTGGTAGGATGAACGTAGAGGAGCCATGAGAATGTGAGCCATGTCTGCTGGGATACATTCAACATGAATTAATGAAACATGGTCACGTTCTATCCCAATAGGCACTTTTCTTGATGGTCAGCTGCCTTCCCCCTGACATTTAACAGCTACCCAAAGATCAGGCACCACAGAAACACAAGGGAGAGACTGAGGTTTCTGGGGCAGATGCTCCTGTTGTTCCTTTTAGACGCAGTTGCAGCAGCCTGGTTGGGAGTGGACTCCCCTACCAAGAAGGCTTGCTTTGGGTTTGCAAAAATGTCTCACAGTCTCATGGACAAATCATCTCGGCTTCTGAAGTTGGGGCTGCGCCTGGCGGTTCATGGCCAAACGAGCTGCGTAGTAGCTGGGGATGGGTCTCGATTCAGGATTGATTTGAGGGATGATAAAAAAAAACGTAAGCAGGTTTAAGAGGGAGCCCGTCCTT